ATGACGCTCTGATGGTTACAACGTGATATCAGGCTGTGCTTCATCATTCACATCCACCTGCTGGAATAAAACATGATCAATGTTACACTGTGTGTTGGGACTGCTTCTTATGGAGCAGGATTTTTAGGATCAATTAGTGAGTTCACATCATGACTTTGTTGTTTTAGTATTTTTTAATATCAGGATTCATCGTTTTATGTCTGGTTTGAATTTTTAAATTCTAAATTCAGACTTCAGATCTGTTTCCACATGTGGCACTTCTCCTCCTGTAAGTGTTTGATGTCTGAAGAGAAGAAATCAAGAATATTTATATGAAATAAAAACATTATAAACTGTAAACATGATGAGATAAACATCAATCTAAGTACATGAAGAAAACAATCAGACATTAGATAGCCTTTACATTCTTTTAACATCAGGACGTTTCACCAAATATATTCTTGTAATATTTAAAAACAATTGTTTGTCTCCAGAAGATGATGAGGGCCCGACATGAGAGAGAAGATTCTATTCTTGACATTTTGACTTTTTTTAAGGAGCCTCTGAAGTCTCCAGAAGTGAAAACTTTTATTCTGTGTGCAAAACACAATCATCTTTTTCTCTGTTATTTTTTAACCTTTTTGTCATTATTGATATGACAGCTGAAGAGAGACAACATGAAGCAAAGGTCAGAGGTCAGAATCGAACCCACGTCTGCTGTGATCGGGACTATAGCCTCGAGAATTAAAAAATGATCGACATTTGATTAAAATAACGAGAAATGGAGATTTGTTTAAAAGCTATTGCTTGTGGATCAATAATCTTATAATATATAGTATATTATGTTATTTTTCAATCACTTTATTCAAAGAACAATAATGTGAAAGACTTCAGGTAAAATAGAAAAGTTTCACATTTAAATGAAAGAGGGATTAAAATAATATTATAGTAAAGTTCATACAGAAAAGTATAAATATGAGAATATATTTTTTTTAATAACATATTAATATAAATGAATCAACAAAGATGCATGTTTGTAGGGAAATCATTAATTTAACAGGTTTCCTTCCTAATAATATATTTTTTAACGCAATGACGTCACAGTGAAGGACGTTACAACGTGCGACCGTTGACGTTATTTGGTCGTCAGTTGTTAATATTGTTAATATTTACAGTCTGTGGTTGTTCGTCGTCAGTTTGTCGGTTAAGATTTTATAAACCGGGATTAGATTGATTAAATATGCGGGACGACATTTAAATGCTTTAATCTGAAAGTTTCTTGTATATAAATGAGTAAAACTTTAAATGAATTCAGTAAAACTTGATAAATTCTTGCTCTGAACGGAAGGTGACGGACGACGGTGAAGATAAAAGCTAAAAGCTAACTCCGGTAATGAGGATGCTAACGTGAAGGAGACAGTTTGATGTGAGGAATGGAGGAAGATGAAGAGGATGAAGAAGAAGAAGAAGACGAGGACGGTCTGAACAGCTGCATTTATTCTGTGAGTTGACTTCATGAGTTTAAAGTTTAGTTAAATTAAAATTACTGTCATGTGCTAACATTAGCTACAGCTAGCAGGCGGGTCTGATGCTGTTTCCATAGTAACGGAGGAAGACTGCGCTGTTTCCATAGTAACGGAGGAAGACTGCGCTGTTTCCATAGTAACGGATGAAAACTGCGCTGTTTCCATAGTAACGGAGGAAGACTGCGCTGTTTCCATAGTAACGGAGGAAGACTGCGCTGTTTCCATAGTAACGGAGGAAGACTGCGCTGTTTCCATAGTAACGGAGGAAGACTGCGCTGTTTCCATAGTAACGGATGAAAACTGCGCTGTTTCCATAGTAACGGAGGAAGACTGCGCTGTTTCCATAGTAACGGAGGAAGACTGCGCTGTTTCCATAGTAACGGAGGAAGACTGCGCTGTTTCCATAGTAACGGAGGAAGACTGCGCTGTTTCCATAGTAACAGTCTAACGGTCACTCTTTCCTCCCAGCTGAAGGATAATAATGTCCATCAGGAATTTGATCATCTTTGGTTTATTGAACACTTTTTGTTTACGTCTGTAAGTGGATTTATTTGTGCTTTTGTTCAGTCATATTCCCGGAGTTATGAAATGTTGTTGTTCTGTTGTCATCTGATTTGTTGTTGTTGTTTGTTCAAACATTATTAACACCTCCTGTAAAAAACTAAATTATTTAAATGTGACTAATATAAATATTTTAATGAGCATCTAAATACATGCTTTTTTAAAGTACACTTTTCTTTGCTGCGTATCATTTAAATAAAATAGTAAATCTCCAGAGAACTGTTTGGACTACCTAAGTAAGTTTATCTACCTGCAGTAAGTAACACACTGTCAAACCTATGGCCCGCGGGCCGTGTCCGGTCCGACAGCAGGTTTCATCCGGCCCGCGAGACGTTTGGGAAGAAGGGGAAATTTATTGATTCATATTTTTATGAGATTTTGTATAAATGAAACATTTTGAATACTTATTTTCCCCAAATTGTAATAAAAACCTGTGTATAACGAGGAACGTAAAGGGCAATATGATGATCGGAACATTAATTAAACTGTGAACTATCTTCTCAGGGACTAACAGAAAAAGAAGAGATGGCTCGGAGATGTCATAGATTCATGGCGCATAAAAAGTCAGCGACAGAGTAAGATTACAGTGAGGACTCGTAGAAGAACGGAGGGTTATTAAAAGTTGATCCTTTATGATTTCAACAACTGCGCCCTTGTTTTCAAAAGACTGAGACTTTGAACACTGTGTTTGTTGTTTTGTTGTTGTTGTTGTTGTTTTGTTTGTATGGAACGTCTAGGACAGGATCTAAGGACCCTCGGGGGTCCCTGGACCTGAGTTTGGACATCACAGCTCTAAACCACACTGCTGCTGCTGAATTCACTTCAGAGTTAGAAGTCTGTTCTAGAAGTGATGGGGTCTGGTCACTCCTGTTCTTGATGATTTGGCGCCCTCTGGTGTCCTGAAACAAACAGTACTCTATATTGTGTATCGTTTTAGTGGTTGTAGTAGTTTGACAGTATTTATCATTTATCCACACAAAGAAAAACATAAACCCTTTATTCAGATTCTTAATAAAAAGACAGAGAGGGATTAAACTGATGGAAAAGGTTCAGGCTGAAGATGACACCTGAGTGTTATTCATCTCCATCATTAGAAAGAACAGGAGTGCATCGTAGTATTATTATTATTATCACATTTGGTGGGGAGTGGTCTTTATAATGATGTGGTCTGCTGGGGGGCAAGATGCCGGACAGAGACTCGACAACTCGACTCAACTACAAACTGATGCAGCATTCTGTCGTGAGCTAAAATGTTCAAGGATCAAGAAATCAGGCTAGAATCAGCTTTTCAAAATAAAGTAGGCCTCCATCGTATGAACATGTTTAAAACTTGAATGGTTAATTAGATGTCCTGCTTTTATTTTCTTCAGGTTTTTAAAGAGTAAGGAACCTGCATTAGTATCTCTATAATGTGTATTATATTGTCCCTAATATGGTGCAGTGTTTGTATTTACTGTGTAAGGCCTCCTGAAATGAAACCGATCATTTAAAAAACAGATTTATTGTATATTTTACATGATTTCGTTTGTAATAGTGTGTACAGAGCAGGATATTCTTATTGTTTTCCACAGTGTTTATAGCATTTTATTACGTAGTTTATGTACTTGGTGTTGTCAGGTGTGCTCCTTTACGGTCCTCTGTTGAGCGGAGTTTTAATGTTTGTCTTGCGTCACTTTTACGTCTCGACTACAGATCAGCAAATTAATAACTCAATAAATCTGGTGCAGCCATCTTTTTCTTTTTCTTTGTATGAACGATTAAATTCTATTACACCTTCCCCTGATAAATAACATTTAGAAATAACGCTTCATAAAAACAATACTTTTGTATTTAAATATCCTTTTTTAAATGAAAAAGGGTTAGGGTTAGGGTAACCCTAAATAATTAATGACACATTTAAATAATCATTTAATTATTTATTAACACATGCATTTAATTAATTAAATAATTACATATTTATTTTTATATTTTGTGGATTTATTTCCAATATTAAATAATTGATGACACATTTAATGATTTAATTAACTCAATTCATTTTGGCACTTTTAATCCTCCATAGTTTCTAACAGTGTTCAGAGCTGTAATGGAGAGGTTACAGACGTTTACATAAACTCTGAGTTATCAGCTGATTTAGAATAACACAAAGTCACCTGGATGATATTCAAACCTTTTGTATTCACACCTGAGTGTAAATAATGATGAGTGGGGCGAGACGACGTGTTATATTCTTTTTATTTTGACATTTATTTTTCAGGAAGAGGATTTGGTGTAGTGTTCCTTCGTTTAGAGACATTTTCACCAACATATTTATGATGTGACAGTTGAAACGTTGTTCATACGTTAGTGAATGAATGTGTGAAGAATCTGTGAACACACTTCTCTTCTGCTTTAAAGCAGGAACATGACACTTTAATCCTCTCTAGTTTCAGTCCAAACACACACAGCTCTTCTTTTACCCTCCTTTGTCCTTTGGAAATGAAACCCCGATACTAAATTGTGTTTTTTAAATAGTTTGAAGTACAAAAAGCTTCACAATCACGTTTAATCTCACTGCTTCCAGTGTTTTCAAATCTACCGCCGAAACATTCTCAGAGTTTGTTTTCACCCAAACGGGGGCGTGGTCACTCTGACGAGCCGGAAGTGACGTTCGGCTGCTCTTATGAATTGACGCGCTTGCCAGCTTCGCTCCTGAGTGTAAGAATTCGAAATAAGACAGTCCAATATCTTCTTCGTTTAGGAATATTTATTTCTCATTCCATCGTTGTCTTGATTAATGTCACATGTGAGCTGTTCAAACAATAATCCAGACATTTACATTCACTCCTGTTCCCTCATAGCGTGGCGTACAGCGGTCAAAAAACTGTAATTGCTCCCGGTCTAGCAACACCTGTGCACCGGATGTCCGGCGCCGCTCCTTATTATCTCAATTCGAAAACGAAACTTCAGTTGAGTTTCTGACGCAGACAGAAGAAGAGTCGTTAAAAACACAAACTACTCAAAGTCAGAATCAACAACAATGGAGTGTGCTCTTCTCTTTTCTCTCCTTTGGTCGGTATCAACGTTTGATGATGTTAACGGTAAGAAAGAACAATAAGAGCTCCTTTTTCTTGTGGTTGTTTTGTCTGCTTCCTGTAGCCGAGCTGATCGAAATCATACGATGTTAAACGAGGAGCAGTAATAATGTCGACGGACATGTTTAAACACTAATAAGTGAAAACTTGTGAATACCTAGTTATTTATTGACTTTTGGCAAGGGCATAGGTTTGGATTCAACATTGGGGGGGACAAATTTTCAGCGGGGGGGTCTGAGGGTTCCCCCCCAGAGAATTTTGAGCGTCAAACACTTCATTTCCTGCATTCTGCTGAATTGTTATGCAACAATTTGTGCCTTTTGTGTCTTTACTATGTATAGGAAATTATAATTATTTTTTAATTACTATTAATTATTCAACTGAATTGTTCATAACTTTCTGCATATTCAAAACATTACAGGTGTTTTGGGATGTTTTTTTAGGAATCATGTACATCTCAAATCAAATCTTTTAGTGAATGACACCTTCTTATAGCCTTAGTATCCAAAATTTAAAACTACATAAAAGCTGTTGTTATGGCTGACTAATCTATCACTCACTATTTGGACAAAATTCGGTCGGATATTGTCCGTGTTTATTGCACTTAAAATCAATTGATGGGCAGGCTATATAAAGAATAATATCATCAAGGCATGTAGATTTATAGCCTGCTGTTTTTATTAAAGAGCCCATATTCTGCCCTTTTTGGGGTTCATATATTTAATCTATGTTCCTACTTTTGTACGTTCACAATAGATAAAGTTCTAAAAAAGTGTCTGTTTTCATGAACTGCTCCTCCTTGCTCCCTCTCCGCTCTGAGTCCGTCAGCTACACTCTGTTGAGCCCACACTGTTAGACCCCACGTGGGCCAAGTCTGCTCTGATTGGTCTGCCGATCTGCTCTGTCGTTATTGGTCAGTTGCTCAGCATGTGTCTCTGAAATTTCAACATGAGCTGCAGGGCCACAACGAGCCAATGGGCTTAGATCAGTGACATCACACTGACAATGACGTCGGACTGACACATTTTTATGGAGGGGGGCTAGAACCGAGCGTTACATGCAGCTAATGCTACAGCTAACAGGAGGAGAAGCTGCGTTTCCACAGACTTTGAATTTTTGCCTAAACATGCACAGGACACTTGGAAAACACACTAAAGGGCAGATAGACACACTAGAGGACAGAACAATTACACAATGAATAAAGCAATAACATAACACTGCCAAACATCACAATGACAGCGGACTTTAGGGACTTCTGTTCTGTGTTGTTTAACACTTACCTCTTAATCAACAGCCTAAATCATGGTTAAAAGTTAAATGAGTGATAACTTAAACGATGTTATTTAGTTATGCTGGTTCAGAAGCTCTCTTCTCGCCTCCACCTTGTCCATTCATTACTGATAATTGGACACCCCGTCGGGCATTAACTCGTATACTTTGTGGTGTCACCTCTATACAGTTAACGGGACACTAATGCAAACACCAACCTGTTGCTCTTGCTTTGTCTTGTCACTGTCTGCACCCGCGACCATAGACTGTATAAAGACCACGGCCGTATCCGAATTGCCAAGTACCTACTCAGTCTTTCAGTAGGCGCGCACAGTAGGCAGATATTTGTTCCTACTTCTTCTGATTCATTCAGTAAGGAAGTGACGTCATTTATGTTTCCCGAACCGGCCGCATTCACCCGTTTTTTTTTTTTTCGTTTGTTTATCTTTATTGAAGAAGAGTAATGCTCATATACAGTCAGGTAAACAAAAAACAATATCACAATGTAAATCAAGTAAAAGATGAAATAACTAAATAACATACAGTACATAAAGAACAAATGAAAGACAGTAATATACAGAATATAAAATAAACCAATAAAGACACTTTTAAATAGTGAAATCATTATTTAAATAGTGAAATCATTATTTAAATAGAGGGGGAAAGGTTTTATAATAATGCAGATATTTGTTATATTGTCTGTTGTTAATTTAAAGTAGTGATTTCAGTCGGGACTTTAACTCTAGATTAAAAATTGATTAAATTAATCCACGCTCGTTTGTTTTGATCTGGAGGCGGACGTGACGATTTACGTTTCATTTCGCACAGCATTGTGGGTAAAATATAATTCATTTCCTGAAAGCACGCATCTGATCCATACTGCATGAAACCAGGAAGTTAGTATCCATACTGAAATGTTCAGTATACTGAGGTGGACCCAAAAAATGACCACTGAATGACCACGAGGGTTCAGTCTACTGAAACTCCTACTGAATAGTACTGACTACTGAACTGTGACAATTCGGAAAGGGCCGCTGTCTCCTCGTCCTCGGTCGAACCGGAAGTAGTTTTAGACCCGCCATGTTAAGGAACGTCCCACAGCTCTGGGGTGTGTTCGAATTGTCCCTCCTATCTCCTTTCACTATCCACTTCACCTTAACCCCGGGGAAAACGTCATGAGGTTAAGGAAAGATGTTAGGAGAAGTCATAAAGGACTTAGGGAAAGGAGATCTCGTTGCTCTGACAATCCGACCACATTTCCACTAGGCCACGTCATTAAATGCGACGGGCCGGCGGAGGTTAATGACGTGGGTCTGCTGTGTTGAAACTACAATGTTCAGAAAATGGACCACAAAAAGATCATCTAAAAAACTTTCCCCTGTGCTTCTTACCGGTGAAATAATCCTGATCACCACGAGGTTGGGATTGAAATAAAAGAAATATAGACTACCAGACTACAAGTAAGAAAAGTGAAACCATCAGCTTCCTGTCCAATCAGAAATCAACATCAACATCAATATGATTGGATGAAATGAATTGTTACATTAATGTAAGATATAACCTACACATAATGTTTTAAACATACAAATGTACAGCAGCACAAAACATTCTGAAGAGAATGAAATATGTTGAATCAAACATCATCTGATAAAAATGTCTCTTATCTTTTATCTCTTTCATGATCTGAGTCACTTTACGATCATCGTTAATGTTCCTGAACGGTCGGATGCTCGACTCGCTTTAAATGTTGAGGCCGCAAGGAATTGTGGGACGTCATATCTCATCTCCTTTCCTAAAGGATGGTCCAGTGTATCCTAAAGGAGGTTATAAAGGAAGCATTGACCCACCTTTCCTTAGATTTTAGAGAATTCAAACGGCTCTTATCATGGAAACCACTTAAAAAACACTTAAATGCTTCATTTCACTCAGTTAGGAACCTTCCTAAGAAAAAATGACGATTCCAACGCACCATAGTGTCTTGGATTACTTTGGTTCACCATCTATTTTTATTTCTAAGCACCTTGCTGGCCAGGTGCTGCCTGTTTCCAAAACTTTGCTCCTGATGTTTCCTCCATGTCGTAAATTAGACGGCCCAGAGTTCAGTGACCTAACAAGTGGTACTTTGTTTTTAAAGGGACAGTAAATGAATGAACACACACAGTGGGGAAAGCTTTAACTGAAAAAATATACCTGCATAACCAACAAGACAAGATGACATCGTTTAGAGGTTCAGACACTCAGAGACGTCAGTCTGCATTTAGGTGGACAAAGACGAGAAAGCATGAAAGGTTTCTTTGATATAATATGTTGATGCTCCATTAATAAACTTTACTGTAACTGTTTTCAGGTTTTCTGCATGTAAACAAACTGATTCATCCTCGTGTTTCTGTCTCAGGTGGAGTGGTGGTGAAAGAAGACAGTGATGCTGTGTTACCGTGTTCCCTCAGCACCAAGGAGAACATCGAGACGAAGATCTTTGACTGGAAGAAAGACGTGACGAAAGACCATCAACAAGAGGTGTTCTATTACGTCGGAGGCCTTTATTACGGTAACGGCATTACAGATCAAGACAAACAGTTTGAAGGTCGAGTCTCACATTTTGAATACGAGCTGAGGAACGGTAACGCCTCCATAAAGATCAGGAAGACCAAGGTGTCTGACAGTGGAGTCTACACCTGTTTTTTCCCACTTCTGTGGCCACCTCAAGAGTTCCACATTGAGCTGGTTGTTGGTGAGTATTTTTAAAATAACAGTTAAAAACATTTTTCCTGAGATGACTGGTTTAAGAGTCACTGATGAACTTTTTTTTAAAGTTGTCAGAAATCACATGTTTGATATTTACTAAACAGTACAGGTTAGATCACTCTGCTCCATGGGGGCAGCATGTGAGTGCTACTGGATACTTACATTTCCCTCAGGATGAATTATGTATTTAAAGAATTAATACATAAACAATAGAAGGTAAGGTTATTTGTGCAGCACATTTCTTACAGAGGTGATTCACAGTGCATTACTAAAGATAAAAGTTTAACCTTTGCGCTCTAACTCTCCCCTCTGCGTGACTCATTTGATCGTCTTTTCATTCATCCATTCATTTGGGCTTCTTGTAAACCTCGGATGCGTGCACAAAGCCAGACTATGTGAGCCTGGCTTGAGTCAGCCCGGATTAATTAAGTGTTGCTTATGTTTCCTCTCAACGCTCCTTAGGCCTGGTCTATAAACAATGACCATAATTATCAAATTTTCTCAGTATAAATAATTTATTAAAACAATTTGATAAAAGATTTAAACCTGTAATAACACTGCCCAAACACGGGGAAAGGGGGCAGGGCTAGTGCGTCTTAAACACTAGTTGCCACCCGACAATAAAGAGAAGAAGAAAAAGACGACGAACAGCCAATCATGTCGCAGGGATATGTGTAGGAACACCGGAAGTCACAAACACATAACTGGCAAGAACGCCGTTTTTACAGCAGAAGTAAACATGTTTACAGCCTGGTACAAAAAAACAAATAGATCTGATTAGTTATTGTCATCACTGGCACACACTGTACGAGGGGTGAATTTTTATAACGGCTCCATTTTTATTCTTTAAATAATAATAACAATAATAATAACTTTATTTATATAGCACCTTTTAAAAACACAGGTTTACAAAGTGCTTTGACAAACAGCAAAAACAAGAACAAACTAAACCAAACACAGAAGAACATAAACAACAACAAGAATATAACAAATACTAAATACTAAAAATAATTAAATACAATTCAACAGAAAAGAACCCAAAGTGCACGATACCCAACAGACATATAGAACCAGACCATCACAAGAACCATCACAAGAACCATCACAAGAACCATCATAAGAACCATCACAAGAACCCAGGAAACACAAGAACCATCACAAGAACCATCATAAGAACCATCACAAGAACCATCATAAGAACCATCATAAGAACCCAGGAAACACAAGAACCATCACAAGAACCATCATAAGAACCATCACAAGAACCATCACAGAACCATCACAAGAACCATCACAAGAACCATCACAAGAACCCAGGCAACACAAGAACCATCATAAGAACCATCATAAGAACCATCATAAGAACCCAGGCAACACAAGAACCATCACAAAAACCATCACAAGAACAATCATAAGAACCATCACAAGAACCATCACAAGAACCATCATAAGAACCATCATAAGAACCCAGGAAACACAAGAACCATCGTAAGAACCATCATAAGAACCATCACAAGACCCATCACAAGAACCATCATAAGAACCATCATAAGAACCATCACAAGAACCATCACAAGAACCATCATAAGAACCATCACAAGAACCATCACAAGAATCATCACAAGAACCATCATAAGAACCATCATAAGAACCCAGGCAACACAAGAACCATCACAAGAACCATCATAAGAACCATCATAAGAACCATCATAAGAACCCAGACAACACAAGAACCATCACAAGAACCATCATAAGAACCATCATAAGAACCATCACAAGAACCATCATAAGAACCATCATAAGAACCATCACAAGAACCATCATAAGAACCCAGACAACACAAGAACCATCACAAGAACCATCACAAGAACCATCATAAGAACCATCATAAGAACCCAGGCAACACAAGAACCATCGTAAGAACCATCATAAGAACCATCACAAGACCCATCACAAGAACCATCATAAGAACCATCACAAGAACCATCACAAGAACCATCACAAGAACCATCATAAGAACCCAGGCAACACAAGAACCATCACAAGAACCATCACAAGAACCATCATAAGAACCATCACAAGAACCATCACAAGAACCATCATAAGAACCATCATAAGAACCATCACAAGAACCATCATAAGAACCATCACAAGAACCATCACAAGAACCATCACAAGAACCATCACAAGAACCCAGGCAACACAAGAACCATCACAAGAACCATCATAAGAACCATCACAAGAACCATCATAAGAACCCAGGAACACAAGAACCATCACAAGAACCATCATAAGAACCATCACAAGAACCATCACAGAACCATCACAAGAACCATCACAAGAACCATCACAAGAACCCAGGCAACACAAGAACCATCATAAGAACCATCACAAGAACCATCACAAGAACCATCATAAGAACCATCATAAGAACCCAGGCAACACAAGAACCATCACAAAACCATCACAAGAACCATCATAAGAACCATCACAAGAACCATCACAAGAACCATCATAAGAACCATCATAAGAACCCAGGAAACACAAGAACCATCGTAAGAACCATCATAAGAACCATCACAAGACCCATCACAAGAACCATCATAAGAACCATCATAAGAACCATCACAAGAACCATCACAAGAACCATCATAAGAACCATCACAAGAACCATCACAAGAATCATCACAAGAACCATCATAAGAACCATCATAAGAACCCAGGCAACACAAGAACCATTGTAAGAACCATCATAAGAACCATCACAAGAACCATCATGAGAACCATCATAAGAACCATCACAAGACCCATCACAAGAACCATCATAAGAACCCAGGCAACACAAGAACCATCACAAGAACCATCACAAGAACCATCATAAGAACCATCATAAGAACCCAGGCAACACAAGAACCATCGTAAGAACCATCATAAGAACCATCATAAGAACCATCACAAGAACCATCACAAGAACCATCATAAGAACCATCATAAGAACCCAGGCAACACAAGAACCATCACAAAAACCATCACAAGAACCATCATAAGAACCATCACAAGAACCATCACAAGAACCATCATAAGAACCATCATAAGAACCCAGGAAACACAAGAACCATCGTAAGAACCATCATAAGAACCATCACAAGACCCATCACAAGAACCATCATAAGAACCATCATAAGAACCATCACAAGAACCATCACAAGAACCATCATAAGAACCATCACAAGAACCATCACAAGAATCATCACAAGAACCATCATAAGAACCATCATAAGAACCCAGGCAACACAAGAACCATTGTAAGAACCATCATAAGAACCATCACAAGAACCATCATAAGAACCATCATAAGAACCATCACAAGAACCATCACAAGAACCATCATAAGAACCCAGGAAACACAAGAACCATCACAAGAACCATCACAAGAACCATCATAAGAACCATCATAAGAACCCAGGCAACACAAGAACCATCGTAAGAACCATCATAAGAACCATCACAAGACCCATCACAAGAACCATCATAAGAACCATCATAAGAACCATCACAAGAACCATCACAAGAACCATCACAAGAACCATCATAAGAACCCAGGCAACACAAGAACCATCACAAGACCCATCACAAGAACCATCATAAGAACCATCACAAGAACCATCACAAGAACCATCACAAGAACCATCACAAGAACCATCACAAGAACCATCATAAGAACCATCACAAGAACCATCATAAGAACCATCACAAGAACCATCACAAGAACCATCACAAGAACCATCATAAGAACCCAGGCAACACAAGAACCATCACAAGAACCATCACAAGAACCATCATAAGAACCATCATAAGAACCATCACAAGAACCATCATAAGAACCATCATAAGAACCATCACAAGAACCCAGGCAACACAAGAACCCAACAACACGAGCTGAGACCAAGAGGAGCAAAGATTTAAAAAGATGTAAGAAACTAAAAGAGATGAAAGCAAATCAAAAGATAACAGCAATAAGAAGGTAAGAGCAGAAAAAGAAATAGAAACAAGTGAATAAATTATCCAAAAAGAATGATACGTATTGTCCATAGTTGGGCGTGTAGCTGACCTGATTGACAGGTGAGCGCGGTGTAACGGTTTGTCAGGAGGTTTAAAACCCGCTCCAGCTCTCAGCCTGTCGTTAGGTTGACTGAAACTGAGACAGCATTTCCAACATGACGGCTGCTGCCGATATGAATTTAACGTGATAACATTTTTAGTCATATGGAGAAATTATGTTTCTTTTTTATTCCTGCATTTTTCTCTTCTTACTAAGACGTCCTACTGTTTCCTTTCTGGTTGAGGCCATACTTAAAAAGCTCCTTTATGTTCACAGTTAGATTGGCCAAACAACCTCTCATAATCACTGAGATCACATCCTCCCACGTGGTGCTGCGGTGTCTCGTCGGAGGAGGAGGACCTAAAGTGGAGTGGAGGGACAGTTCTGGAAACATCCTTCATGCTAAAGAAGCACAGGTCACAGAAAGAGGAGGCAGCTACGACATCATCCTCCAAACCACTGTGACCAAGACCGACCACTACAGCTGTGTGGTCACACAGGACTTACGTGCCTGTTGTTGGTAAGATTGACTTTTTAAGGTGTTCCAGTATTTTTTCCAAGCATTCATTGATTTCAAGTTTAGCTCAGCCTGTGACCAATCGGCTTTGTTGTTATGTGTTTCAGATGAGATCCTGAAAAAATGGAGTGCAAAAGATATTTTATTGGTTGTGGTTCTCCTGGTTCTCGTGGCTGCAGCTCTGTGTCTGATATTCAGAGGTCGTATTAGAGCTGAGTTTGAATCATTTAATTATATTTAACAAACTCTTTATTTTGGATCAAAACTGACCTTTCTCTCAGGCAATTGTGTGATAGCAGAAAACTGAATCCATTTAATAGTAATGTGCCGGATGTATCAAATGCAGAACAGAAAAAGGTCTTTGGCAGTGCAATCATATAAAACAGTTCTGGGGAATAGTGAGGGAGTGTATCCAGGACAAATTACTCCTACAAATACTGCTGGATCCAAAGCTTTTTATTTTAGGATTATATCCACCTGGGCATGAAAAGAGTCAACAAATGTTTTTAGATATAAGTTTGTTACTGGCTAAAAGAGTTATTGCTCTATCCTGGAACGATGTCAGGAGGCTGAGGGTGGGTCGCTGGATCTCTGAACTAACTACAACTCTGCCCTTAGAAAAGATTATGTATACAATCAGGAGTAAACAGTCACTTTTCCAAAACATCTGTGGTCCCTTCATCTGTTATCGAGAGAGGACAGATCTGTCACTAAGAATAGAAACACCTGGAGATATATAAGTAGTCCTTTAATTAAAAGTTTAAGTTGAACTGTAGTAATGTCCCTATATATTCCCCAACTTACTAATCACATATGTATTTTATTTTCTGTTATTAGTCTTTCTATTTGTTATTTTTGTGTTTATATTTCTTTTTAACTTTTTCCTTTGGTTACGTTATGACTTAACTTATTTGATAAATAATGTTGTGTACTCTGTATGTATGCTAAAAGGTAAAATAAATAAAACATTGTTGGGAAAAAAACCCCTGACCTTTTAGGACAGTTTCCCTTTTTGCTCAGTCCTTTAAAATCAGGAAACATGTTTGTTTCTTCTTCTATGAACTACTCATATTCACTCCCATCTTGAGTTGGGTCATGTTTCTGATGTATTCTCTCTCCTGTTAGGCGTTCCCACGAAGAGGTTCAGACCTGATGACATGAAGAACAAGGGAGACAATAGACCTGATGATGATGATGATGATGATGATGATGAGGAGACCCCTCTCAATCCTGATGAAGAAGGTATACTCTACATTTGGATTGGATGATTGGTTTGCAGTGTTTCCCACAGATTGATGTGATACCTGGGAGGTGGAGTTCACAGGGGGGTCGACATACCTTTTATTTTTTACTCTTATTTTAGGGTATATCTGAATCTTTGTGGAGATGTTCACAGACTACAGCAGGCTGTGAGATCACGTTGCTATCGTTAAGTTAGCTGCAGACACGGTGAGAGTGAACGGAGTCAAATGGACCGTTTGACCGGGTCACGTGTTCACGACTCGGTCCATACGGATCAACTGTGTTCTAAAAGTAAAAAGGTGCGCGTGGTGGCTGGCTACAAGAGATGTCAGTCATCGGCACAGTCGCGTGCTATTGGCCGTCAGAACAGGAGGAGGCCCCTCCTTCAGTGTTTCCCCTAGGTGTACAGCTTTGGGTGGGTTGATCAAGGTGTTCATGTGTTTCTTTAATGGCAGCAGTCAATCAGGGCCGTAACCAGGGTTTAGAAAACAAATGCAACTCGAGCTAAACAGCCGACCAACACAAACTCACACACATACTTCCTGTTTGTAAAGTGAATGATCTGTCGATCACATGCAGCCCGATCCACAGGTGATGATCCCAACAGAGCACTCATGACATTTCAAAGTAAACATTGCTCTATTTGCTGTTTTATAGTCAGCACCATGGACTGGTTTCTGGCTCCCCCAGAACATTTTCAGCAGCTCACATTTCTTTTCCTGCAATCTGATCAGTTTTGATTCAGTCGTTTGTGTCTTTTCTGCAGAACTTTATGATTCTAATCTCGTCTTTTTGTCCTGTTTGTGTCTTAGGGTCAGTCAGTGAGTGTCAAAGTCCGTGAGTGTGGAGGGCCAGTGACAAATTTAACTTAATGTCAACCCCTGCAATCAGGTGTAAACAGTCACTTTTCCAAAACATCTGTGGTCCCTTCATCCGTTATCTAGGGAGAACAGATCTGTCACTAAGAATAGAAACACCTGGAGATATATAAGTAGTCCTTTAATTAAAAGATTAAGTTGAACTGTAGTAATGTCCCTATATATTCCCCAACTTATTAATCACATATGTATTTTATTTTCTGTTATTAGTCTTTCTATTTGTTTTTTTTGTGTTTATATTTCTTTTTAACTTTTTCCTTTAGTTACGATATGACTTAACTTATTTGATAAATAATGTTGTGTACTCTGTATGTATGCTAAAAGGTAAAATAAATAAAACATTGTTGGGAAAAAAACCCCTGACCTTTTAGGACAGTTTCCCTTTTTTCTCAGTCCTTTAAAATCAGGAAACATGTTTGTTTCTTCTTCTATGAACTACTCATATTCACTCCCATCTTGAGTTGGGTCATGTTTCTGATGTATTCTCTCTCCTGTTAGGCGTTCCCACGAAGAGGTTCAGACCTGATGACATGAAGAACAAGGGAGACAATAGACCTGATGATGATGATGATGATGATGATGATGATGATGATGATGATGATGAGGAGACCCCTCTCAATCCTGATGAAGAAGGTATACTCTACATTTGGATTGGATGATTGGTTTGCAGTGTTTCCCACAGATTGATGTGATACCTGGGAGGTGGAGTTCACAGGGGGGTCGACATACCTTTTATTTTTTACTCTTATTTTAGGGTATATCTGAATCTTTGTGGAGATGTTCACAGACTACAGCAGGCTGTGAGATCACGTTGCTATCGTTAAGTTAGCTGCAGACACGGTGAGAGTGAACGGAGTCAAATGGACCGTTTGACCGGGTCACGTGTTCACGACTCGGTCCGTACAGATCAACTGTGTTCTAAAAGTAAAAAGGTGCGCGTGGTGGCTGGCTACAAGAGATGTCAGTCATCGGCACAGTCGCGTGCTATTGGCCGTCAGAACAGGAGGAGGCCCCTCCTTCAGTGTTTCCCCTAGGTGTACAGCTTTGGGTGGGTTGATCATGGTGTTCATGTGTTTCTTTAATGGCAGCAGTCAATCAGGGCCGTAACCAGGGTTTAGAAAACAAATGCAACTCGAGCTAAACAGCCGACCAACACAAACTCACACACATACTTCCTATAGTGGCAATCCGTCTCTTTTTTCGTCCTCTGTACCACTTTTTGGAGTCAACTCACAGTATTTGCAACGCGAGCGAAAAGACAGGACAGCTTTCCTTCGTTTTAAAAGGTTTACTGTCACAAACGGTCTAACGCACGGTCAAAAAACTGTGTAGCTTCCATCAATATTGGACTCCAAAACTGCTTACGTCACATCCGTCACAACTTTAACTACGCAGTGCTGTCCTAACATAAACATCCAAAAACATAAACAATAACCTTTTTATCATTTATAAATGACTAAATTATGCCTTTAAAACAATTTTAAACGTTATGAATTTACATGAAATTACTGTTATTAGATTTTAATCATTTTTAACTAGATATTTAGTATTAATCAATAATTTGCATATTGGCTCTTACATTACCCGGCCCCTAATTGGTTAGGCAGGCGGACTAAACAATTACAAATTAAAACATTAAGAGCCAAATAAATCAAATGTCCATGAAATGTCCAACTTAAAGTTATTCCCTGTGCTTCTCCTTTTTTTTTTTTTTTTTCAAATCTTCTCGTTTGACGCCGCTTCTTCTAACAAGCACAGTTTGGTAACAGGTCTTTCCAAGAGGCTGGTCTTGGTTTTTATCTTCACCCTACGAACTGCTCCGCTGGAGTCGGGTAAGGTCTCTACCACTCTGCCCATCAGCCAGGAGTTGCGAGGTGATGAACTGTCCACCAACAACACAACATCTCCGACTATGAAGTTTCTTCGTAGTTTTGACCACCTCTGTCGTTCCTGGAGGAGTGGGAGGTACTCGCGGGTCCATCTGGTCCAAAACAAGTCCGCTAGATATTGGACTTGCTTCCAGCGTTTTCTTGTGTATGTGTCATTTTTGCTGAAAATGCCTGGAGGCATGATAGGTTGTGACTTCAACAACAACAAATGATTGGTGTCAGAGGCTCAAGGTCATTCACGTCATCTGAGATACTTGTGAGTGGCCTGCCGTTGATGATGCTCTCAACCTCACACATTACTGTCTGAAGACAATCATCATTCATAGCTTGTTCTTCAACAGAGAATTGAGGATTCTTCGCACAGTTCGAATCTGTCTTCCCAAATCCCGCCCTGGTGGGAAGCTGCTGGGCTGTTGAATATCCACTGTATCCCCTTTGGTTGGAAGAGCCTTTCAATTTTCATGATCAAAGAGTTGAATTGCTTCCCTCATCTCCCTTCAGCACCGACAAAGTTTGTGCCTGTCAGAACGCATGATGGTAACTTGACCTCTTCTAGACACAAAACGCCGAATCGCATTGATGCAGGAGTCGGTATCAAGGCTGTCTGCAACTTCAATGTGCACGGCTCTAAGGGTAAGGCAGGTGAACAATACGCCATATCTCTTGACTGTACTCCGGCCCCGCTTAACATCAAAAGGCCCGAAATAATCAACGCCGGTGTTCGTAAAGGGAGGTTTGTCAGGCAAGAGGCGATCTTCAGGCAAGTTCGCCATCTTTTGCTCTCCAACTCTTCCGCTGATCCTGCGACATACTGCACACTTGTTGATTATTGTTCGGACAGCAGAATTGGCTTGTGGGATCCAATACTTGCTTCTTAATTGTGCCATGACATAACTGCGTCCGCAGTGTCCTGTTCTTTGTGTATGTCTCTCAAGATCAATGTGGCAGCTCTACAATGCTTAGAGAGTATCCCTGGATGCTTGGCATTCTCTGGCATGGCCGACTTGTTGAGTCTTCCGCCAACTCTCAATGTGCCATCTTGCAGAATCGGATCCAGTTTGAACAGCTGACTGTTTCGACTGACTTGTTTTCCTTTTTGCAGAGCTTTGATTTCTTCACTGTACTGCTGTCTTTGGCTGAACTGGATTATTGCAGATTCTGCAGTGTCCAAATCTTCTAAAGTAAGCGGTTTCTTTCCTTTTGTTGTTTTGTATTTTTCCATGTGCCTTTCTAACTTTGATCTTTGCTTTTCAGGGTCCTTTTCGGTTTGATTGACTGTTCTCGAGAACTCCTTTCTTTCATCTTTCAGTTGGCACAAGGTTTCCTTCAGCTTTAGAATCCAGGCCACTGACCTTTTAAGTTTATGCCAGTCCGAGTAGTAGTTGATCAACTGGTTCATTGTTCACGTTATCTTCGATTTTGATGGTGTTGACTATAACCGGGTTCTTGACCTCTGGGTCATCTTGAAAGCTTTCCTTCCTTTGCACGGGTTGCTTGGGCCAATCATGTTCATTTTGCAACAGGAAGTTCGGTCCATTAATCCATGTTCCCTTTTGTATCAAACTCTTGGCCTTCAGACCCCTGCTGGCTTGATCTGCAGGATTTTCTGCTGATCCGACGTAGCTCCACTGAGATGGTTTGGTGGCTTCGCGGATCAGTGTAACTCTGTTCGCAACAAAAGTTTTGAATCGAGCTGTTTCATTGTCAATATACCTGAGTACGGTAGTGCTGTCTGTCCAGAAGATAGATGGTTGAAGTGGAACTTGAAGTTCTTGACGTAACATCTTGTCCATCTTCACTGCCATGACTGCCGCAGTCAATTCAAGCCGGGGTATTGTAACTTGCTTGAGTGGGACGACTCTTGATTTTCCCATCAGGAAAGAACAATGTTTCTTGCCTTGTTTGTTTTCTAGCAGCAGATAAGTCACAGTGCCATATGCGTACTCTGAGGCATCCGAGAAATTATGTAACTGCGCTGTGGCAGCGCATCCGAAGTCTGTGGGTTTTAAACATCTGCTCACGTGGAAGTCAGCAAGTGAGTAATGTCTTCTTTCCATCTTTTCCACTCTTCAGCATGTTTTTCACCAATGTTCTCATCCCAACCATGCTGCTCCTTACAAAGCTCTTTCAGCAGAAGTTTGGCTGGCAGGATGACTGGAGCCAAAAAGCCGAGGGGGTCGTAGATAGAATTGACGACGGATAAAATGCCCCTCCTCGTCAACGGCTTGTCTTGCAGCTTCATGCTGTAAGTGAAGGTATCCGTTTCTGTATCCCACTGTATGCCAAGAGTCCTCTCGACTGGTAGAGCTTCATGGCTTAGATCCAAATCTTTTACTCCACTAGCTCTGTGTACTTCTGGAATGACATCAACACCTTTCGGCTATGACTCATCCACTTCACCAGATTGAAACCTCCTCTGGCACACAAGGTACGGAGATCACTTGCCAATGTCACTGCATCGTCTTCTGTAGCTACGCTCTTCAAACAGTCGTCCACGTAAAAGTTGCGCAGGACTGCTTGGACAGCTTCTGGGGAGGCAGTAGCTCTATGGTCCTCAGCGGTTCTTCGAAGGGCATACGTAGCAACGCTTGGCGATGAAGTGGCCCCGAATAGGTGCACTGCCATCCTAAATTCCTTCATTGGCCCATTCAAGTTGCCGTTGGGCCACCAAAGAAAGCGGAGGAGATCTGCGTCTTTTCTGGCACCTTAACTTGATAAAACATTGACTCGATGTCTGCCATTATGGCTATTGACTCCTCACGAAATCTTAAGAGGACACCAACCAACGTATTGGTCAGGTCGGTCCTTGTAGTAACTCACAGTTCAAAGACCGGCCCTGATACGAGGCTGTGCAGTCGAAGACCACTCGCAGTTTTCTTTTCTTAGGGTGATACACCCATGGTGCGGTATGTAGAACACCCTGTTGTCGTCACGATTCAGCTGGTGTGCCGGAACTTGGACAGCATAGCCTTTGCTTATGATAGTATCCATGAAGTCTTTGTACTCTTCAAAGAACTCAGGATTCTTCTTGAGCTTTCTGTGCAAACTGGCTATGCGCTGCTCCGCCACACAGC